GAGACTGGTACCACCCCCAACTCCTGTCTCAAAGAAAAAAAAGTGCTGGGAATGCAGCTGAGCACGTCCCAGGTTCAAGCTCTAGTACTACCCCCACCCCCAAGAGACATAAAGACATGTAAAATAAATTAAATATACATCAGCAAACTAAAAAGCAATAATAAATATTTTAAGAGCATAAAAAATTTAAAAACACTATATTCTCGAATTTACCAGAGAAGTAAGCTGTTCACAGACTACCAAATTAGCTGAAACAAAGTGCAACTAAGGAGAAATAATTTTTGGTTTATAACAATTGTGACAAGCAATACTTAAACACTTTCTATGTAATTTTAAACTAACTTTAAACAAATTTAGATGTCAAAATGAATTGATAATATTCAACATCTACTTTTATTTTTAAAATTCCTTTTGGGGAGCTGCAGGGATTAAACCCAGGGCCTCTTGTACACCAGGTAAGCACTCTGCCACTGAGCCACCTCCTATGCCCTGATTTTTTTTTTTTTTTTTTCCCCGTTTTTTCCGTTTTTTTCCAGTACCGGGAATCAAACTCACGACCTTGCGCTTGCCAGGCAGGTGCTGTGCCACTGAGCTAAATCCCCAGCCCCCTGCCCTGATTTTTTAAAAGTTCTTAATAAACCCAAATTAAATTGCTCTCTTTTGCATTTTATTTATAAAGCACAACAAAAGGGTGGCTTAATGCTCCATGGTAAAACACAAATACATATTCCAATATTGTCAGCACTGAAGGAAACATTAGAAGCACTAAAGTAATAAGCAAGACAAGGTGCTCATCACCACAATGTTCTACAAGTTCCAGCCAGTGAGGCGTGGTGCCACATGCCTATAATCCCAGCATTCGCATGGGGGGAGACCGGGCTGAGCCAGGAAATAAATAACTCTGTACCTCAGGCTGGCCTCGACCTCACAGCAATCCGCCTGCCTCAGCCTCCTGAGTGCTGGGATCACAGGTATGCATCACCATGCCCAGCCATTGATGAACGTTTCCCTTCCCTTCCACCCTACCCCAAAATTCCACTCCAACAGCCAAGAATCAGGAAATACTCATAGACATGCACAAAGACAACCTGACAGTGGCTATAGGAGGGCTGTCACAACCTTTTTCCATATCCCCAATGGACAGCACTGACAGAATTTTATTTTAGTAAATGACATATAAGTTTTAGGAAGGGTAAGTTTCAATATTCTATAACTCATCAACTATCTGTGATATGCAAAGAGAATTTTATTTTTGGAAAGTGAATTTGTAAAAGCATATTTCTTTGAACCTGCACAATAACATCCAAAGACAGTTCCTTCTGAGAGAAGTCACATAATCCAGCGTGCACATGCGCAGTCCTCTGCCGCAGCCCCATGCGAGGCCAGAGCCTCTCCAGTAAGGGCACAAGCCCCAGAGCCAGAGGCATGGTCCTTGATAACTCTAAATTCTCAGTGCTCTCAAGTGTAAAAATGAGCGCAATGTACTCAACAGGTTAAGCAAATGTTTTCTGCCTAAACACACAGAGATGTTTATTACTGCATTTTATTCAATAACAAAAAAGAAAAGTGTCCAACAAGAAGAGTTCATTAAATTATGGTGTATACCATTTGACAGATTGTTATCAATAAAACTGATGCTTACTTTTTAATATGAAAAATGCCTTAGGGAAATGAAAAAGAGACTGCATACTTATACAAACTAATAAAAACAATTTTTTTTCCAGTACTGGGAATCGAACTCACAGCCAGACCCCAATAATAAAAGTTTTAAATGACCATTAACAAAAAACCACAGGTGGTGGAAAATATACCACGATGTCGACAGGATACTTTTTATAAATGGTACAATCATGAAAAGGACTTTAAACACAGCCTGACATTTGGTAGTTCAACTCATGTATTACTGTGCCTATTATTAATAAAAAGCCACTGTTCCTTCCTTAAAGACATGTCACATTAAATATGCACTATACGCACACAGACACACGCATCCTCCTTTAACCCTCTTGAAATTCCAAAACGTATCTGGCTTGAAGATTCTGAGTGAGAGCCCAGTGTCCTATACTTTTAAATTAGCTTCTTACAAAAAATGATTAACAATGAAATACATACATATATACATCTATTTCTAAACGAATACATTTTAAAGTCAGCTGGCCAAGCTCCTAGCGGTGCCAAGGGTTCAGCTGGTGCCCGTGTCAAAGCCAACAATCATCACAGAATGCTCCGTTTCTTCCAAAACCCTACTTCAATTGGTTAACATGCTCATTAGCAGGATTTGCTCACAGGCCAGTTTCACTTGCAGTGGCATGGACTGCATTACCACCTTAGCTCTTGTACTTAACACTTGAATATCTGAATCAACCAACGGATGGACTACCTTATCTGCCGTCCCATATATCCATAGCAGAGATCTATTTGCCTAACACAATGCAAGTCTCACGCATAAGAAGGGTGTTCTCACATACATGTGAGAACACCCAAAGCCAGCTGGCTTAAACAAGGAATTTACTGGCTCACCTAGTAAGAACCTAGAGGTACACCAGCATCAGGGAAGGACTGATCTAGGAGCTCAACCACAGCTACAGGTATAGGTTTGCTCAGCCCTGCTCCTTCAGTTCGGCATCTCATACAACTAGCTCTCCTTTCAGAGTCAGAAGATAGCTGCCAGGCGTCCACTGGCTAAGTTTCCAGCTTGAAAAGGAAAAAGTGCCTTTATCCCAGCTTTTCTACCAAATGTCCTAAAATTCACTTGGTAATTCCCCACCCCCACCTCCGCAAAAAGAACTTGAACATTCTGATTGATCTAGCTTAGGCATGCCATGGTTCTCCTAGGTAAGCCACATTCCATTCACATAAACTTTAAAATATGTATGAAACAAAGCAGATTAAAGTTTATCTTAGTGATTTAGATTTCTTATATCACAAAATGATGGTATTACTGCACGAGTAGAGCATACCATGCAAGCTTCCTATCATCTTTCAAAGGTATTTTCCCATATTCATCACAACCATAAAGAAAAAGCAGCTGAAAATGCAGCTCAGCGGTAAAGCACGTGCCAAGAATCATCACCAAAGGGGTGGGGGCATCAATTCTTCCCTGGATACGTATCACTTTTTAAAGGATTACAAATGTACCATCAGACTACCCGGTAAAAGTCCAAACACAAGTTTATGATTTTCCTATAGAGAACGATTATGATTTTCTTAATGTTACTGAAAACACCACCACAGATTTTCAGAAAGAAGTAGTTCTTATTCTACAATTTTTCTAGACTGTAACAGTAGGGTTTAAAAGAAAATTAGAAGAGTGTACGAATACCTTGAGTCAGGAGGGGAGATGACATGTTTCATAGAAGTTTTTTTGTTTTTTGTTTTTTGTTTTAAAGAGTAAAAGAAGGTTAATATAGTAATATAGTAATAGGCTTACCGAATTACAGACAAAGTGGTAGGAAATTATCAATGGTTGTTGTTTTACTACAAGTTTAAAATATAAGCAACCAGATGGCTCAAGACCCCCTAAACAGACTCACCGTTCAACCTTGCCCCCCACTCTGCCCCTCTCAAAACACAAGTAGGCTCTAAGAACAGGGTGCACATTTTGGGAGATCTCTATGCAAACACACACTGAAAAGACAACTAAAAATTACTCCTAAATTGTATTTCTTATCATCCATGTTTATTACCATTTCTTTTCTTTTCTTTTTTTTTGAGACAGGGTCTCAATATGCAGCTCAGGATGGCCTTGAGCTCACTTTGTAGCCCAGGTTGGTCTTGAACTCGCAATGATCCTCTTGCCTCAGCCTCCCGAGTGCTGGGATTACAGGCATGCGCCACCACACCCGGCTTACCATTTTATAATTAGAAAAAGCGGTACGCTATTCTGTCAGAAGAATGAGCAATTACTCATTACACTGCAAGCTAATGCTCAAACATACCCCCCAGCAACGTTTTTTTCAGAGCAGAACTAATCACCTGAATGTGTCTTCCACACTAGTCATCCTATAGAGAACGCCAAACTTCACTCACTCCAGAGGGAACTGTGTGGTGGAAGAAAAGGATGTGAATTCAAGGAAAATCTATGTATTCAGTTCTGGAAACTGGCTTTCCAAGTTGTCTACTGTCAAAATAATTCAACTCAGTAAGTATGTATTGGAGGCATGATTAAGGAGAGAGTACCTGTGTCAGACACAGAGAATACACATATAGCACTGAACTTCACAAAGTTTAATACTATGCCACAAAAGCAACATATACCAACCACCATCACTAAACAACACAGAACAAAATCAAATGGAAATGCATGCTTCAGGTAACCAGAGAAGGAAGAAATCAAATGAATCTAGATGAGTTTCAAAGCAAATAATAGAAAATTTCGCGACAAAACTGCTTACACAAGAAGGAAACCCAAGCAGGTGGCTCCAGACGTGGGAAGTGGGCTACAGTTCCACCCGTCTCTGCAAGCCTCTTGGTTCTGCCCCTCTTCACTTACGGCATCACCTTCTGGCTCCTAGCAAGATGGCCGCAGCAGTTCCAGGAGTCACATCCAAATAAAACAAGCACTGGGGAGGTGAGGAACCATCTGGTTCTTTCTTTTTCTCAAAAAGAAGAAAACCTTCCCCAGGTGCCTCTTGTGGACTTCTTTTTTCTACCCCACTGGCCAGCACCGCCAGTGGCTCTCCTAAAACAATTACTTCCAAAGAGACTAAGACATGCCACAGCGGAGCCTGGGACGGCTGCCGTGAAACCTCACGGCCCTTCCTTCAGTCCTGGCTGAAGAGTTCAGAGGCAAGTACTTCAGGCCTTGGACTGGAGAAGAAATAAGAGAGAAAAATACACAGGCAAAGGAAAGGACTGGCCAACTAGAAGAAGAAAGCCAAACCCTGGAATTATAAATCGAACTGTTTCTCTGTACTACAAACATGAATTTGTCAGTAAACAGTAAAAACACAGGGAAAACAGTCTTTTTACGAAAAGAGAGAGGGGATAATCAGACTCACCGCTCCGCATTCAGCGCGGTCTGGGTCGCGAACACTCGGTATCACGCACACCGATGCCCCGCAGACTCATGATCAGAAGCTGTTCCTTGACAGTTTCTTCATCTGGGCTCCAGGTTTCACTCAATATATCCACCAACTCTGAAATGACCCTATCTGCAAATAAAAGCATGCAATTAGGAGGCAAAAGCTACAGGGTGCAATTCTTCCCTCCCCACCTATAATTAACTGATATGTATGAAAACGAAACTCAAACACTAGACTCACTAAGCACCATGTTTAAACCAAACAACCTACATTTTAATGCCTGTAATGTGCTTATTATACAGAGTTCCCACCCTTCTCCCTTCCCATAAATTTATTGTTACTGCCGTAGCGCACCAGGTACAACTGTTACCCAAGGACCCAGAGCACATCATTTCTTTGGCGAACATACAGTGTCAGCTTACGCTGTGTTAAAGGATTGCTGCCTACATTTACGGTTGAAGAATTAACAATGAAATCCAGATTTCTGACCTCTCTTGAAAATTAAAATCTAGCAATACTGCACCCACACTCCCACACAGTAACCATCTGTCAGAGCTGATTACAGGCTGATTCTTAAGTTGGGGCAGAGACTTTGCAGTTCTCCACAAATGTCACCACTCTCTGATATTACCACCTGTACTCACAGTTACTTGTCTTGAGCTTGTAAACATGTGAGCTTGGGCCGGGGATATAGCTCAGGGGCACAAGCACCTGCCTGGCAGGTACAAGGTCCAGAGTTCGATTCCCAGTACCAAAAAATAAAAAATAAATGTGAGCTTGCAAATTCTGCTATATAGTTATAATACTAAATCACAATTACTCGACAATAATATATTGCAACTCAAGCAAGTTTTCCTGCTTTGAGAATATACGTAATATACCACAAGGGTTAAAGGTTAACAGCATGAACTTTGGAGTCAGAAGGCACTATGTTGGAGTTCTAATTCTGAAACTGACTAGCTGTGTCACCCTGAATCTGTATTTAACCTAAGATATTATGTCTTCTTTTACAAGCATCCAACTAAATACATAAGCACCTAACAGAGGAAGCAAACAGGCGTAAAATCTAACATGTCCAAATTAAACTGATAATCCTAAATCCACTGCTTCCTAAGTCTTCCTCATGATCCATGTACTACTGCACAGTATATAAATAAACTGAAAACCGAAGCACGGGTACCACAACAGTCTCACCAATCATAAGCAGCCCAGTTTCAGCTAATAACAAGCAGCCAACTGACTGGACCATAATGCTAAAAGGCAGAGGAGGAGATGTAACCAACCTACTTCCATACCTACTCTCCTTTCTGACTATAAATACTCATTGGTTCAGAGCTCTGTGAACCTTTTATGGTTCTGAGTGCTGCCTGATTCATGCATTCTTTATTCAAACCCTGCTAAATTTAAATTGTTTAAAGTTTAACATAGCTAAAAACTGGGACTACCAACTGCCTATCAATAGGTGAGTGGAGAAACATATGGTACAGTACATGGACTTTTAACTTTAATTTTAAAAATGAACTATTACATATTCATCAATATAGATGAATCTCAGAATCACTCTGCATCAAAAAGCCACACAGCCCCCTAAGTCCCATATCCAGCACCACAGAAACAACACATGTACATACTAGAGAACCCATTCGTACACAATTCTAGAAAATGAAGACTAAATTCTGTGATAGAAAGCAGATCTGCAAGGCGCTGGGGATATAGCTCAGCAGCTCAGCAGCATAGTGGCTGCCTGGCAAGTGTGAGGTTGTGAGTTTGATTCCTGGTATTAAAAAAAGAAAAAGAAAAAGAAAAGAAAGATCTACAGACAGCATAGGGATAAGAATAGGTAGGCAAACAGAGGGACTACAAAGAGACAAAAAGAAATTGGCCAGCGGTGTGATACGTTCAATAGTTTCTTACTGTTGATTTGGTCTGCTTTCTGTGGGACTGAGATCGAACGGGGGGGCCTAGAGCATGTTAGGCAAATGCTCTACCACTAAGGCTACACCCTCAACCTCAATTCTCACACCTTCAGGGGATACTTTCACAGGTATATGCATATGTCAACATTTATCGAACTGAACACTGAATCTGTGCAATTAATTTTATGTTTTAAAAAGAAGTAACTCTGAGCCAAGCACCCTGGTGCACACCTGCAGTCCCAGGACTCAGGAGGCGGATGCCAGCGGAGCGCTGTGAGTTTGAGGCCACCCTGGGCCACAGAGCAAGTTCCAGGCCAGCCTACACCTCAAAGTGAGACCTCATGACAAAAAAAAGGTTATTCTATGCATATTAATAATTAGTGGCAAGACTGCCTTACATGAAAAGGAGGACTAAAATCATGGTCACAGTCTTTCTTTTTTTTTTTTTTTTTTTTTTTTT